CTTCTTTATTTTCCAAGGGTTGAAAAAACCTGGGTGCTATTCTAGAAATGATGAGCATTTTTTCCCAACCATAAAAAAATCGCACTTTGTAGTTTTCAACTTTGAGCGGTTTTGAAATCAATGCATGGACAATCGCTTTCCAGGAGGTGTCTTGTTCAGAGCAATTGCATTCATCTGAACGTTTTGGGACTATATACAATAGCTAGCTGATTTGTGACCAAACAGTTACTTCTTGAATTAAATAACAAAAAAGTCCAGCTCTGGTTAACGTGATAATTGATTGGTGATAATTCAGCACAATGTGAAGTAATCGCACTTATCCATGCCTCACCGCACACAAGGTGCTGTACAGCTACTCAAACAATTGAAATACAGCTTTTGCTTAAAAGTGTTCAAAAGCAGCAATGTTGAAACTACCTTTTACAGGGGTTTGCTTTTTTAAATGTCCGTTGTACAATTATAAGTAAATTTATATACTTGCGATTTTTTTGTCTGTTTTTACTTAAAATGCCGACTTGTGAGAACTTGCATTGAAATAGGCTTCAGATTGTTCTTTTCAACGGTGTATCTACAAATTTTGACCCGATAATAAGCACTCATGCAAATCAAAACAATACTTCAAACGGAAATACGTCATAACGTGGAGGTATCCCATACTACCTTAATAGAGCATTTTTTCCTTCATGTTATAATTACGTAACAACTTATGAAATCCAAAGCTTCTTGGGTAGCCTGACCAAAGACGCATGTTAACAAGTGGGGTCAATATGGACTTTGGAAGGTGAAATGGGACCTCTATGATAACACGGATTTCATAAGCAGTAAATTTTTATACACATAACCTGTAGATTTTAATTTTACCTCGAGTCTTTTTGCATTATTTGACTGTTTAAAAAAAAAAGTCGAAGATAACTCAATGTTTATATTCAAAGTTACAACCGGATATCATTTCTATTGTATAAATTTTGACATTACAAAACGTAAGAAAAAAATACGGAATACTTTTATATCATTTTTGTTTAGAAATTTATCTTTTTTTTTCATTGTCATTATACTATTATTATTAATAATATCAATGTATATATAGATCTATGCTATCCAATCCAGAAAGCTGTAGGCACATATGGTGCGGATTATAAGGGGGTCTCTGAGGAGACTTTACCCCAAAATGTCTTTGTAAAATCTGAATAAAAAAAAAAATCATTTTGCAAGTTCTATGATCGATACAATGACCTTTTCAGCAAATACAATCTATCATTAAGTCGAATGCTGACTGAAGTTTTTCAATCTGTTCGCCAATTTTTTACACACTGAATTATCTACGGATTTTTTTTTTGTTTTCTCGATCATGAGAGTGGGACCGGTCGACAGGGGATGGTAACTCCATGGCACCTGATCCCACCTCTGATGATTTTATATGTCCATGTTTGCTCTGCTCCAGATTTGTATTGTTTCAATGGACTTTTGAGCTTGAATACCTGCATATATCATCATGAAAGACCTATATTGTATATTATATATAAGAAACACAAATTAAAATTCTTTCGTCTGGTTTCCAGATGGGGTATCTCAGAATGTAGAAATTTATGAAATTATCCTGATTTTATGGAATACTTCAAAATATGACAGATACTAATGATTTATACAAAAATTATCAGAATTTTGTTGTTGTTGAGATTTTCAAATTCCTCTGTTAAGATTTTCAAGAGCATGTATTTTTATACTTTTTCTTTTGTAACATTTTTATGACCTCCTCTTATTAATAGAACATTTTATCATAACGTCACAAACACATTGTTACGACGTCCATGTACCTATCAATTGAAAAGTCATAAAAAATTCTTTAAAAAAAAATATTAATTAGATTTTTTTAACCTGTTATTTCTTAATTTTGTTTAATTTGATAAATTATGAGAAAATAGTTGCTTTAAAAATGTTTTGATTTTACTATGCTGCGCCAAGTATTGCACGATGAAAACCCCAGTCGGCTCCTTTAAATGTCTTTCTTACTGTACAATTTGGTCTGATTTAGTTATCAAATCTTAGTATATGTAGACAAATAGACTGCAACAAAATAGCTTACTTTATTTACCGACTTTTGATTTTAAAGAAATAACCAATATGAAGATCGATCCTAAGCTGCCATTTTCCCCGGATTTCAAATATTTTGATACTTCTGAGACTCCTGACCAGCTGGCTTCAAGGAGGCAAAAAGAAGAAAAAACATTTAAATTTCGAAAAAATCCATTGTTTTTTAAAATTTAAAAATGATAGACTGGAAAATACTACCATTTTTCCACATGTTCACTTTCTAACTCTTCTACTTTGTGATTGTCATTTAACAGCATGTTTTCCTGTTTCTTGTTAAGATGGGAAGAATCTCAAAAAACAAAACAAAAGAAAACAAAAGAAAAAAAAAACAAAACAAAAACAAAACAAACAAACAAACAAACAAACAAACAAAAACAAAAAAAACAAGAAAAGACGAGTTTAACCCAAGCAATTCCTTTGGAAACATACGAGTATACATTTATATTCATTCAAAATTCAGGAATGCATGCAAGATCAAAAGAAAGAGACTATAAAGTTAATATAATTTTTAAGACTTATTGTGTAGATTAGTCTTCTTTAAAGGACGAAGAAGAACACCGCCTTATTACATGAAAATTTTAAGAAAGTTTCAGAAATCTTTGAATCATGAAATGAATTATGGGTTATAAAAGAAGTTTTAAGAATTTTATTACTTTTTATTTCTCCTGATAGATCAAAAGCCAGAAAATATTACCTATAAACTATTTCATTTTTTTTTAAAATGTCCGAGCTTATTTCTCTTTTCTTTTCGTCCGATTCAACTAGGAACATATTTGGTAACTTTTGAAATTAAATTAATTTTGCAATTAAACTCAAAGATGAAATATTACAGATCGACGTGATTTTTTTTTCTCGTATATTATGTTTTATTAAAGGTTCAAGGCTGCAAAGTCACAGTCTTTTTAAAGACTTCTGGTTGATTGATTACAATGACAACAAAACTTTGTTGTCGGAATAAAAATTACTTCGAGAAATAAGGAAGTATCAGAAAATTGTCAGTGCTTCTATAGATCTTTAATAATAAACAAGTGTGGGTCAACTTAATGTTTCAATGCCGAAAGTCTGTCAACAAAATAAAACTATATTCATGTTCATCGGAATGAGGTTTTTAGAAGATGGATCTTCAAAGAGCAGAAAGAGAGTGCATAGATCTCTCATTAACAAACATTTTATGTGTTTTGTTTAAAAAGAAATATTAACTGAAATTAAGAACTGGAAAATTATTCTTCAAATTCAGCTGAATTTGAATAAGTAGCATATGCATGTATAATAAGGTAATAAATATTTTGTCTAAAAGAATTATACTCTAGATTTTTGGTTTATAGAATTATTCCCAGCTTTTAGCATCATGTTAAAATTTTACTTAATATATGATAAAACATATATGGCTTTGTATATGAAAGCAGTTTTTGTGCTGTCAATGCGATTTGGGAATTTTCCATGATTGATTTAATGTTTCGATACGTAAATGGTTTTCCGTTTAGACTATGAGCATTGAGCTTTTAAGTTGTTCTTTAAAAGTTTAAAATTATCTGCAGGAAATAAAACTGAAAACCCAGCTCTCGAATATAGGTTATTACCTGTTCGTAGCATTCACACTTGGGCGCTCATGATTATTAATCGAACTATCTACTCCTCGTAGCAGCATTTTTCAATTTACAAGCCATTTCGGAAGTAATTGTGCATTTCTTTGATATAACTGGTAAGACATAACTATTTTACTTAAAACTATGCATACATGTATATTTACCCCCTCTCCAGGTAATAGAAAAACAAGGGATATACTTGTTCGGTGTACTTTCTCTTTTACTGATATTGGAAACTGTAATTATAGCATTTTGTGTATTATAACAATGAATCCAGGAATAATTACATTTTGATGTTTGCTTCGTTCCATTTATACACAATATTTTTTGTGATTGATAACTATGTAATACATTATTTATCAAAACCATAATGTTATTCGATTACTGTGTTTTATTTTTAACTGGAAATTTCCATGACCTAAAGGTCTACTTAGTACAAAGAGGATACGATAACAACTTACCTACTTTAAATGTAAAGTATACCTTCTAGTTCTTATATTAGTTTAGAAGATATTTGAATATCTTAATTAGTTTGTTCCACATGAACAATTTATTTAGAAAAATGTTTATGTCCCACGAAAAAGAATTGTTTATGATTTGATAGCTGATTCACTCTGCACATTTGAGAGAATTCGTATTTTGGAATGTTTTCTTATTTTAAAAAGAAACTTATTTTCTTGTAGATTACAAAAAGGTATTTAAAAATACAAGATGGAATATATCTGCTATGTTCAAGCCAATGTTAATGACAAGTCATCGTCAGTTGTTTATTTCCATCGTTCAGAGTGTAAAAATCATCCCCGATCAGGATATGGATTGCATGTTCTTATATTATCAATCAATGCTATAGAAGAAAACAGAACCTTTGGTTATGCTTGTTGGAATACAAGGGCAATCAAATCGTTTTTCTGTCAAAATGAATCAAGGGAAAAGATGGCGACCATATTTACTTTGTTTATTATCAATTTCAGTGAACATGATTTTGCAATCTGTAAGAATGATCAGGTATGTAACCTCTCTTTGGAAGCTGAAGACCTTGCAAGAGGTCAAGCTATACTACATTCGAATTTCCAAAGTGACCATAGTTCTAAACCATTTCCCAAGATAATGTGTCCAAATAACGGACAGCAGTTAAAGGTAGAAAGTGTAACGCGCATTGGGAAAAATAAAATCAAAATTATGTCTAATATTTCTAGGATTTGTTGGAAATGGTTCGATTTTCTTTACTCTTCCTCTTTTTTCTCTCTTAACATGCAATGCAGTGTCTTTTTCAATGCAGAAGTTTTTCGAAGGGAACATTTTTTATGTACATGTAAAGGTTTGATGGTTTGTAAAACAAGCCCACTTTTAGTCGTTTCAGTGGATTACAGAGAGATGAAGGGCTGTATTATTGCAAAACCTATGTTTGAACTCAAGGCATCAACATTTCAGATAGAAATTACCCTGTACAACATGCTTCTAGAATTTAATTCATGTTTCAACAGAGCTCGGAAAATGCACAGGATTTATCTTTTAAAACAACTTTTAAAAATAACTGACGAGGAACATATCAGCAAAATCGCTAAAAATTTGCAATCAAAAGAAAACATTCAAATTCCAAACAAGAACGAAAATAAACATTATTCAAGCGCCCATAAGACGGACATTTATCACCTATGGAAAAAAGCAAAATTTAAAAACTCTGTTATGACAAAAACTATAGCGTTCTTTCAAAACCATGAACCTGATTGTCTTAACGATTCGGAAACTCTTGGCGAAAGAAAGCATAAAGAATGGCTTTCTTGTGATTTTGAAAAATTTTCAGAGATATCCATATTTCCTGTCTTTCGTAGCAATGATCTCGAATACTCGTTTCAACAAATTTTGAATGGTACTCCTTATCTATCGAGTGAGGTAATGAGATTCGAACACCATCGTTTGAGTTCATTTGCTAATTATAACAGCATTGATACTCCAAGCGTACTGGTAATGGCTAAGGCCGGGTGGTATGCTACAGGAAATGGAAGAGAAACAAAAACATTCTGTTGTATGATATCCAATTCCGCATGGAAAAAAGAAGACGATCCGTTTCATGTGCACAAAGAGCTTTACTATGATTGTGCATTCATTCTGGGAACAGACTTGGATCATGTATCAATTCAGAAAGAAAACCCTGAGTGTCAAAGAAAGAATTCCGATGCCAACAATTCAAATATTTCAGAAATTTCGACGAATGTGCAAAACATGCGAATTGTTTCATCTAAATCCAATTTAGCTGAGAAATTAGAAGAGAGTCATATGGGTAATCAATCTGAAATTGAGAAGTTTTCAGAATTATCCTCGAAATCAACTCAGAACACATCTACTACATTGAGTATTGACTGTCCTTCTCGACCATCATCAGCAAGCCGGAGAGGAGACAGCTTTCCGAGAGACGTAAGCATTGATAGAAACCGCAGGGCACAGAAATCCGGTTTAAATGAAGCCGCATCATATCAAAACGATAATGATAAGAGAAAAATAGAATTTAGTGATAGTGACGACGGTTCCACACATATTTTTCGTGAGCCGATACTACCACCCTTAGATTTTGAGAAACCAAAGCATATTGAATATTCAACGGTGGGGATAAGGGCGTCTTCTTTCAGTGGGTTTCCCATAAGTAGTAGAAAAACACCAAAGGAATTTGCAGTAGGTGGATTCTACTACAGAGGTTTTGGTGATCGAACCACTTGTTTTCACTGTGGTATTAGTTTGCAAGGATGGAGTGTAGAGGATGATGTATTCGTAGAACATGTCCGTTACAATCCATTATGTCAATACATGCGGCGATTGAAGGGTGATGAATTCATAAAACTAGTTATGGCAGCAACTCACAATCTCCAGGTAAATAAATGTATAAGTGAATACATTATAGTTTTCAGATTCTTTATGGCCTATTTTGCATGATATTCATAGTAATATTTGACAAGCAAGTTTAAAAAAAGACTGGTGCAATATTTTTTTTCTTCAGACTATACCTTCCCTCTCAGGAACGAGAGGCGATGAAACTTGTAAGTTTTGATTTATTCTTAAGAATTATTACAATTTATTGAATACTATTGTTCATGCCTTCAGTTGTGGTGTATATTTTTTCCCGCAGCATCTCAAAATTCTTCTGCAAAAGACATAGCTAGTACACTAAAAGAAATGGGATTCTCCCAAAGTGCAATATCAGCGGCATTAGGCAGAGTCGCGACAAAAAACGGTATGTTTGTTCTGTCCTTGACAATGCGGAATTCTTGTTACTATTTACATCTGATTTCGTCATCAAGCAATTAAATGACTTATCAATTTTTTAATGCTGTAAAGGTAATGGAACACTATCGCCAAGATAATTTTTTCATATGAAATAAATTCAAAATAAATATAAAGTTTCAGATTCTTTTTTTTTTTTAGATTGTTTGACTATTCAGGGCATATTGGATGTCATTGTTGAAAATACAGACATCGTACAAAGAAATTCAGCAAACAACCAAAGTACATCAACAGCGAATGAAGAAAATGGAGAAAATTTAAATTCACAAGAAAGTCTGGCAAATACTCGTTTGTCTGGTAGTACTACGACTGGTTTTTCAACTGATTTATCTAGTGCTTCAAAAAGTGATTTGACGTTAAAAGATCAATTCATATGTAAAATCTGTATGGATGAGAGGGTTGGAGTAGTTTTTACACCATGTGGCCACATTGTAACGTGCTCGAAATGTTCTAAATCCTTAAGAAAATGTCCCATTTGTCGTGAAAATATTAGGGATAAGGTTAGGACCGTTATTACAGATTAGAAATGTGGTATTTGACATACAAGTACCAGCCATTTAAAATACATTGATTATATCTTATAAGAAATGCTACATGTATCATACTTTTAATACTTTGGAGTCCACACGGCACTAATTTAAATTGGTTTTATTATTCATATGAGACAATATTTTATATGGAATGAACACCTTTTATTTATATTCTAACAAAATTAAACTCTCGGGTTTCCTTTCAGTGTTTTGTATATCATAGTATTTATATTTTCTATGCAATTCGAAATAAAGATCTCAAAAAGAGAAAAAAATTAAAGGTACTTGACTCAAGACTTGTTTCTGTTGATTTCAAATTGTATTACATATATATACATAATAAATTTTTAGATTATTTATCCCAAACGGTTTTTGTTTTCTTTAAAACTATAAAAGTTACAGCATTTGTTACCATTGATCTTTGAATATTTTTCTTTTGAGTTGAGCCAATGTGATTTTACGCACTTGGATTTATATATAATCTGGATTTAATCGTTGTATGGTAGTGATTTGCCAGATTGTAGGGTGCCGGAACCCATGAATTAGGAATCTGAAATCAAGAAAAGAAGAAAATGTGAACCTCATAATTGGAAGGATATTGCACAAGGTACAAAGATTTACTAACGAAAAAAGAGCTAAAAGTGTGATATTTCTTTATCCAGAAGCCGAAGAAGGGGATATGACAACCAAGCTTAGGCTGATGCTACAGCGAATTCTGAGGAACTTTTACTACTGGAAACAAGATTGGAGCAAATGAATACATTATATATGAATTTGAAGTATCAACTGATCCCGGAGTAAAAAGCGCAAGATTGATATCCAGCCAAGAATGCATAATTTTACTTTTCCAAGAATTTCAAATTCAAGAAGATTTGCAAAGAGAAGGAATTTCAGCAGTTAAAAACCTTCAAAGTTTTAATTACCTTCATTAAATGATATTAAAGTGAAAGAATTCTGGACTACTCTGAGGCAGATTCAAGGGAAAAAAAACTCGAGGCTCTCAAATATTAAAAAGTTTAATTAGTAGAATGAAAAAAAGGTGGAGATAACGAACATTGATCGATCTAAAACAAAAATCAACAAACATTACAAATCTGTGAACAGGACATGAAAAGTAAAACGGAAAGAACTGAACTATCTGCTATTTGCGGTCTTATGCCCTCCCATGAAAATTTTGATCTTGCTTTCTCCATATCAAAGAAACGATTTTGAGATGTACAGTCTGTGATAAACAGAAATTACCTGGATCTTATTAATATTTATTTTGCACTCAGTAACACATAAAGACGTCGCAGATATTGGATGAATTAAAAAAAACAACATATGCGCAGCCTAGTAGCCCTGAATCCTTGACCATAATCGGATTGTTTTTGTTTCCATGATATATTGTGCAGGGAACTAATTTTGTTACATAAATCAGCATCACCATAAGCCAAATAAACATCAGCATCCAGTTAGCATCAGGATCAGCATTTTAAGACGACATTGTCTGGATCAACATCAGCAACCAAAGGATTGAACTAGCATATCATTAACCTACGTATTAAAATCAGGGATTAACCTACTAGCATCAGAAAATCAGTGAATTGATTTTTCAGTAATAAATTGAAAACAGAGTGAAAACTAGTAGAATTATTCAAAATATTAATATACAGTGAAATATAATGATAAGAGGTTTTTAAAAGGCTTTTTATTGCTTTAAACTGCAATGCAATTCAGTTATCTACCTCCGGTAGCATGATGCTACTACCAGTAGCATTGACTTAATTATAAAAAGAAAAGCTAAGGTAGCATCAGGATAAGGATAACTAGCATTAAATCAGGAAGGAAAGAAAGCATTCAAATAAGCAAGTGAAGGATTTAAAAAAAAAACCCAGCATCGATGCTGTAACAAAATTAGTTCCCTGCATTGTAACGGTTACCAATGGAAGTCAAATTACAATTAAAAGTACAGGACGGCAAGTAAGAAAGGTGAAGAGTGCAAAAAGGTGAGAGAATTTTTCATAAACGATTTAGTAGCCAGAGATTCTAAAGAAATGGACAAGCTAGCCGGATATGAGAAACAATATGCTTCAAGAACATCATTGCTTGGATTGTCATAAACACACATCTACAGAAACCATAACAACATCATTTAAAGGAAAAGAAACATACTCTCAGTATATTAAAAATACAGCCTACTTGTTTCTTCTGCGAAGGAAATCATTGAAGCAAAAATGAAGGTTTCAGGACAATTGAACACAAGAGAAAAAGAAGATCATAGGAAGATTTTATATTTGTCCTAAATCAGATCATCTGAGGAAAGACTGCAAAATAGATGAACCATCAGACAAAAAATATCACTGAAGTCGCTGCAAAAAGAGAATGTGGCCTCCGAGAGAAACCCAACTCTTTGTTGGAACATTAGAAATCCATGGCAGAGAACCAGTTAACAATGTACCAAAACAACAGTTTACTCTTCTCAAATAGCGTGGTGCAGACTGAAAAACTTGATGCGTCAGGTCTAAATGAAATTGAAACTGTTATGATTCTGATCCACTCTGTGTCTCAGAGAACATAATTTAACTGAAGAATTAGCAACAAGATATAATTAACAAAAGAAAGGAACAGACGAAAAGAACAGAAGAAATATTGCAATTAGACCAAGAAGCCGAAGACAGTGAAAACACCAGATTTCTCTTTAAGAATCAAAGAGGACAGACACTGCATGAGAATATATGTTTATGTGTTGCTCTCCAAATTACTAGATTTATACAAAACAGAACATTACGTTTACATTAAGTTTTATGATACTCTACCAAGAATTGCAGAAAATTCGACTATAGGTTTTTGTTCTGATTGGAAATGACTTTTACCTTGATTTAGTATTATAAGAGGAAATTGAAGTGATCAAGGACTATCCTTATTTTCAGCAAAGGTAGGATGAATCCTTACTGGAAAAGCACAGGAAAATTTTGAGACATCGGAAGATCATTTACATGAACTGTTGATTGCAAATGGAAAAAATGAAAAAGGTGAAGATTACAAACATTGATAGATCTAAAAACAATCTACAAACAGTACAAATCTGTAAACAGGGCATAAAACTAACAACAGAGTATTGTCATTGTTATCTTCATCACTAAATGTCTGCCCCTGAAGCCATTATTGAACGAGTGCAATTAGAGACAACTGAAAATAAAGACCAACAACACTTTTGTTGATGACGAGACCTTTAAAAACTTAAATGATACAATAGAAAACTTGAGTGAGTGACAGAGAAGAATAGAAAAGTATCAATTACTATATAACCTGTCTAGATTGAACTTTCTATCGTTGAAATGATATTGTCCTACGGACCCGGTTTAATAATAGAATGCTAGAATTTGTTCCGTGTATAGTCAATGTTACGAAATAATCAGGCAGACAATTCTAATCTACACGTGTACAACGAATAACACAGAGAGTTTCAAATTCGAAGCGAGAAAAAAAGTTGAGTAATGAGTTGATTTTTAGAGTAGAAAGCATATACGAGTACAAGCTCAGAATGTTTTTATGATTCATTTGGTAGTTATTTTCAGTGTTATTCCTTTTGTGTTCTTCAAAATCGTTTCGGATCGGATTCGCTCCCATTTGCTACATTGCGGCCATATCAGATTCTAACTGTAATGAAGGCTTGTCCCAAGACAAAGTTAGATTATTCTAACTAGTACCCTATTGATCTGCTAATCAAAGAAAACTCAAAACAAAAATGAAGATAGACTTTGATGCGTCAGCAAAGTCAAAAGAGTCTGAAGGAATGCCTCTACATGGTACCAATGTTGCTTCAAGATTGATATGGACTTTTGTTGAGGTTAAGAATGAAAAAAAAAATAGAATTGTAACTGACTTGAAAAGGCATTTCTGCAGATTGAATTATAAGGAGGAGAAATGTCTTAAGCTTCTTTGGACTAAAGAATGTTGACACTCCACAATAAGAATTAAGAGATTAACCAGAGTTCCAACTGGAGTTATAACAAGCCTTTTTTCTACTGGCTGCAACCTTAAATTACCATCTTGTACCTAAAAAAAGCCACAGTCTAAGTAATATTTACCTACGAAATGTCATCACTGTAGTGGGGCCTCTCTCAAGGGTTAGAAACTATACATGTATACAGATACTAGAAAAATCTTCAGTGCCTTTCCCATGAATTTACGAGACTGGACATCTAACTTCGAAGAATTTAATGAATGTATTTCTCCAGTCGATCAAGCCAACAGGAAAAAAAAATTCTTGGATTATGTTGGAAACTTGTTAAGGACTTCTCACTTTTTTAACAGCCCAGGGGAAATTTTGTTAGTGATGACTATAAATTCTTATCAATCAGATTTTTGTTTTCATAACAATCTTTAAGATTTTAGAGTCTTTTTGCTATTACATAAGATCCCAAAATGATATCCCCTAACTACCATTTGAGTAAAAAGTGTCCATGTTTTGCTTTTGGAAACCCAAAATATCTGTTCGATCGAAAATGTAAAATAGGAGATTCACGATGGTTCTATGTAATAAGATTCTGTAAAATTCTCAATAAATTTTATTCAGTGGCGTAGGAGGAGTTGCAGATAAGTTGTTGTGCAATAATGGAGAATTGATTTTAGCATAACCTTGTGAGGCATACAGAATTTCAGACTGAATTTTTGTAGCATAGTATATGTGAAAATATATATAAAAAGTAGATTTTTATATGGCTTATCAGTATTTCATCTACAAATTTTGGTACCTATCCGAGAAGTTCAATACCTTTATTTTTATATCCCCGGTATAACAGTAAGATTAAAACGATCTAAAGACTTGTGGATATGACTGTGTAAACCGACGTTTTAAGTTGCAGCAATTGTTGGCAAGAACAATATCCATCACTATTCGATGACATAAGTGCCGATTACAGATCTAAATTTGCAGTCTTCCTCCGGCAATGGTTGGTGTTATGAATAATATGAGTAAAATGTTCTCAAAGGGAAGTAAAACAACCCACCAAACAAACAGCACTGACGGACATGTCATTCACATAAATTAAAAATGAAAAGTAGACTGAAAAACCACATCTCAACTTATCCAATTAAATGTGGAGCATTGTTGACATATACTTGCTGCTCTCTACAAGATAAAGAAAACTTGAATCACTCATTTCTGTTTGTTTCCTTACATGCAGATAATATTGTATAGATCTTGTTTTCAGGGACTTTTCCCCCAATGTATTTAACGGCACTTTCGTCAATGAGGTATTTAATATGATGAAATTCTTCAAAAGTACAATTCAATATTAAAACTTTTAACATTCCAGTCAACCAAGGTGAGTTTGATCAACCTACCTATATTGGATTCCTAAAATTATAAAAATCCTTACAAACAAAGACACATTGCAGGGTCAAGCAAATGCTCTATTAAGCCCCTATCCTTGCTCCTTACAAAAAATATTAACTGCTGTAAGGAGAAACTTTTGACGTACTGTGATACCGCATATTCTAGAAGTGGTGTAAATCAGATGTAGATCCTCAAAAACTCAAAAACTAAAATTTCGAAAATCGCCAAATTTTTCAAAAGTCATTAACATCAAATGTACAACTTTTCTACATTTTATTTTATAAAACCACTTCTCACCAATAAATTAAAAACTAGACTTTTTGATATCGTAGATAACTGTTTCTTCAATAAAAAGGGAAATTTTCGTATCTTGTGATTGGTCATCATCAAAATTACTTTGTTAAAAATCACTCTGATTCTACACACAAGTGCACTGAAGTTGATATTAAAAAGATACTTCAGTTTCTAATTAACAACATTTGTGACATTTATGTAGTCTTTGGAGACCAGGTCTTCAAACAAACTGTTGGAATTTTGACGGGTACTAAGCAGACTTATTTTCATATTACTATGAAGCAGAATTTGTTCAAAAACTTCTACATGAGAAGAAGAAAACACTTGCTGGGGCCTTCAACTCGACATTTAGATATATCGACATGTATTATCAATTAACAATAGTTATTTTCATTCATATATCGATTCGATATATCAAAGTGACCTTGAAATAAAAGACACCAGAGAGTCTGCCACATCTGTTTCATATTTGAATGTTTTACTGACTATAGACGATAAGAGCCCACTAACAACTAAATTGTTTGACAAACGAGATGACTTCAACTTTTCCATCGTCAACTTTACTTATTTATGTAGAAATATCCCGCTATCACCACTGCAGTATTGTGTTTACATCTCCCATATTATTCGATACTTAAGAGCATGCTCCGAGTACGATCAATTTTTATACCGAGGCAAGCTACTGAGAGATATAAGTTGATGTTACATCATTGATTTCATCATTTAATGTCATCATTACATAAATTCTGTGACCGTTATAATGATTTTGTAAGCAAATATAACCTATCGTTTGGTCGTATTTTGGTCGAAACAATTTTTAAAAATATTTTATCTTTTTCAACACTTTATACATTATACAACCATTCCCCACGATAAATTAAAGTCCATATTTTTTGACATCATAGACAGCACTTTTTTTCAATAAAAAAAACTCGTAAATTTACTTACCTTGTCATTGATCATTTGCAAAATTATTTTGTTTTAAAAAATTTTGATTGTACGCATAAGTACTCTGAAGTTAATACTAAAAAGATGCTTGAGTTTCTGCTTGACAATTGATATCTAAGCAGTTTTTGGAAATCATGCAGGTCTTTCAACAATCTTTCGGAACTTCCAGGGGAACCGTTATAAGCAGGCCTATTTTTTGTATTCTGATTCACACGAAGCAGTATTTATTTAAAAAACTTATACATGAGAAGAAGACACTTGCTTTGGCCTTCAACTGGACCTTAAGATTTTCGATATTATCAATTAAAAATAGTTATTTCCATTCATATGTCGACTCGATATAGCCCACTGACCTACGAAATCAAAGTACTGAAAGTACTGATTGGAGTTGATTTTAATGACAGTTTCAATAAAATTTAATATTTGACACCTTGTTCACAACTTTTCAAATTATGTTCATTAATGCTTCATAAGGAAGTATGCGAAAATCAAATAACAAAACAAAATGTCACGATTCTACAGTAAAAAAGGTAAGGTTGTTTTGATCTCACCATAACTTTAGATTGATTGACTGATTATATGTTGTTTTATGTCCCATTCGAGAATTTTTCACTCATATAGAGACGTCACCATATACCAGTGAAGGGCTTCAAATTTTGACTTTTACTCGGCACTCAGTGCCATTGAGCAGTGAGGGATCTTTATCGTGCTAACGCCTGCCGTGACACCGGGCCTCGGTTTTTAAGGTCTCATCCGAAGGACCTGCAATTTTCACTTCAAAGTGCCGAGCGCATGGCGAAGGAACAGTTGCTACCCAATTTTGTTATCGACTTAGGTCAGTCGCGGCCGAGATTCGAACTCACGACCTCCCGATCACGAAGCGAGCGCTCTATACCGACTGAGCTACCGTGAACAGTCACCGTAACTTTAGAATGATATGCCAAAAATCTCTGGTCAAAATTTTTTCATGAAATTAAGGTATTTTTTCTTACCAAAAGTTTGTTTAAAAGGGCTTTAATAGCAAATACTTGTTGTTGTTTTTTTTGTTTTTTTTTTTTTTTGACAAAATGTGATAGTTGTAAATCTTAAAATTTTACTCCTTAATATGTATAATATTTGAATAAATAATCTGAATTTACATCTAGAGAAATATATATATCATCAATTCGTAATAATTTCTTCCTCCTTGACTCTATCTTCATGCCCTGGGTCGGAATGCATTTTTTTTTTTTACAAAATAAAGAAAAGTTGATAGTTCCATTTGAGTTTGAAAATCTAAAGCGATTTTCATTACAATTATATACATGCGAAAAATGTGGTTATAAAGCTTGCAAAGTCTTTATCAAGTAAATTTATAAGTAATTGCCATTTTATGGTTTCGTCCTCATCTTACGTGAAGTTGTGGATCTTGCATTTTCAGTTTTTTAAATACAAGGTAATTAGGTGGGTTTTTTTAAAAGCTGAAATCACATTTAAGACAGAATTTAAGAAATCCACTGGAGAAAATGCAGTTAATTCTGGACTGGGGAGATGTTGAACTTCATTGTTATCATATATATTATGAGGATATGATAAAATTTATATTTATGTTTCATGTATTAAGATTGATAATTTAATTTTTTCTAAAAAAAAATATCACAAAAGTAACGAATATCCATTAGCAACGGTCACGTTGTCATTAATTCACGAATAAGATGTACAACACTTAACCATACGATGTACTAAATTAAGTTAAATCATGACAAATATTGCTTACCATATTTTCAAGTGTAAAGCAATTATATCTTATCATTGATCTTATAATGTCAAAATGTAAGGGAAATGTACCCGGTTCAGAGAGTACAACAGAATTAGTTGCATATCTATGTACAGGTGTACATTGATTTGCAAATTCTTATCTGCGGCTATAGAACTTTACACATATTAAAGATTTGGAAGCACATAATGCCCGCTGTGATAATCAGTCACGTGCATACAACAGCCAGACGTTGCGTTTACATCAATTGTCTGTATCAGGTAGAGATCTCTGTATACCAACATGCGTGTATCTGATTATTAATCACGTTGTTATTGAACTATCATACTGGTATTGTATAAGTACACTAGCTAAATGTTCATGCATTGCCATATAATCACCAGAATACCGTAAGTTTTTTTTCTCTGCAAACTGAAGAGATGACGTATCTAAGCTATTTTAAGAGCGAATTTCCTGTCTTAAAATTAGAATGCATGCACGATGTAAGAACACATATCGAAAGCCGCATAAAAATTGAAGTGAAAATGCTTATAACGAAAATAAAATGACAGAATAAAGTTGACTACATAGCCATTGTGGACTATTGTCAGGAATTATAATTTCTTCAAAGTAAAAGTTCAACGAACTACTTCGATTCGGCTCTCAAACATGATAAAGGTGAGAGAATCATCCGAGGTTTGCCGAATGGATGCTATTGGTGTAATGTTTAAGTGCAAACGTTAAGATAAACAGAACCGTGCAGTTTGTTTATGTTCCTGATGGCTGAACTCTTAATGCTTTGAGACATTTATTGTTTTATCTTAAACTCCATCGCCTCACTGGTCAACTGTTTATACTTTCTCAGGATATCATATTAATTCTGCTATTTTGTATCTTTGTTTATCTGTATGAGTTAGTAATAGATTTGCGTCCAAAGAGAAATCATGTGTTATTCTTACTAGCAACATTACATTGGCGACGAGGATATAAATTTAACATAGTGTTTGAGCGGTTATTAATTTTGACTGAGAAATATCAAAAATGGCTACTGGATTTCCTCCATTTCCGAAGTTTGATGTATCAGATCAAAATTCAATAGGACAGCGTTGGAAAAAGTGGATCCAGCGATTTGAAAATTTCGTCCTTGCGATGGGAGTTACCAGGAATGATCGCAAAAGGGCAATGCTCTTACACTATGGAGGAGATGAAGTATACAACATTTTCGACACACTCGCTGATACAGGAGGGCCTAATGACTATGATGCAGCAAAAACAAAATTAACGGAGCACTTTAACCCAAAGAAGAATGTTGAATTTGAAATATATAAATTTCGACAAGCCAAACAAAACTCCAGTGAAACAATGGATTCCTATCATACAAGACTGCGACAATTAGCCGAAAACTGTGAGTTTGAGGATATAGACAGAGAAATTAAGTCACAAGTCATACAAGGATGTGAGTCAAGTCGTTTGAGACGCAAAGCACTGCGTGAGCCTGACTTAACGCTCCAACAAATCCTAGATTCAGCGAGAGCCATGGAAGTCTCTCAACTCCAAGCCTTCGGTATGGAAGACCACAAAAGTCAAGACATACAACTAAATACTGCGAATAGGAGAATGAATTCTTCTAAACAAAGGAAACAAAGAGAACCAACAAATACGTGTCGCAATTGTGGAAAGGAATGACCACATAAAGATAGACCGTGCCCAGCGAAGGGCAAGGCGTGCAACAAATGCAAGAAAATTGGACATTTTGCAAAGCAGTGTAGGTCTGGCCAGAAACAGGATACCAAAAACTTCAACCGCACATCCAGAACAAGGAAACCATTGGTCAACAATCTGGATAATGACAGTAGTGATGAAGAGTACGCTTTCGGATTGTCACTCAATGCAACAAAATCCTTGCTTATCGCAGATGTCAAAATAAATGGGATTGAAGTTGGCATGCTGGTGGATTCTGGAGCAAGTGTTACTGTCATGGATGAGTCGACATTTGAAAGAGTAAGTCGCAAGAAACCAATCAAATTGTCAAAATCAAATGCCAAAGTTCATGCTTACGGAACAAAAGCAGCATTACCCATAAAAGGTAAATTTCGAGCTGAACTAGAATCTAAACTTAGGATTATTGACACTGAAATTTTTGTGGTGAAAAGTGCAAGTGGATGTTTACTAAGCTGCGCTGATGCACAAAAGCTTGGACTCATTTCGATTACAATAAATGCTGTAGACCAAGATGAAACTACAGACCAATCCAGCATATTAACGAAGTTTGCTGATCGATTTGAGGGGATAAGAAAAATGGAAGACTTTCAAGTAAAACTTCACATTGACGAAACAGTGAAGCCTGTTGCGCAACCGCATCGAAGAATTCCGTTTCACCGACGAAAGAAATTGGAACTAGAGCTAAAGAAACTTGAAGAAATGGACATCATAGAAAAAGTTGATGGACCGACTCCTTGGGTGTCACCTATTTTAGTAGCTCCCAAACCTAAAAATCCTGACCAGGTGAGAGTTTGTATTGACATGAGAAGAGCTAACGAAGCTATACTTAGAGAACGCCATTTGATGCCTACTATTGATGAACTCATCACTGATTTGAATGGAGCTAAAGTATTCTCAAAACTTGACCTAAATAAAGACTATCACCAACTTGAATTAGCACCTGAATCGAGATACATCACGACATTTTCATCACATGTTGGACTGTTTCGTTACAAAAGACTGATTTTTGGAGTCAATTCGGCAGCTGAAGTTTTTCAGGCAGTGATTCAACAAACTATAGAAGGCATACATGGAACACGCAATATAAGTGATGATATTATTGTGTTTGGCAAGTCTCAGGAAGAGCACGACAAGTCGTTAAAATCGCTCTTAACTCGACTGAGGGAACGAAATCTTACACTCAACAAAGATAAGTGTGAGTTCAACAAAAGAAAGCTTGAATTCTTTGGATTTATTTTCTCTGAAAATGGAATCTCAGCTGACCCCAAGAAAGTTGAAGCTATCAAACATGCGGAAAACCCCAGGAATGCATCTGAAATGCGCAGTTTCCTTGGCATGGCTAACTACTGTGCGCGATTCATCAAGGACTTCGCCACGATTTCGCAACCTCTACGTGAATTGACCAAAAAGAATCAACGATAGACTTGGGAAAAGAAACATGAAGAGGCGATGCAGAATATAAAGGAAGCATTAACAAGTAGTGCAGTTATATCTTATTTTGACCCTTCAAGGCGCACAGAAGTCATCGTCGACGCAAGCCCTGTCGGACTTGGAGCTATCCTTACGCAAATTGATGGAAATAGCACCCGAAAAGTTATTTCCTATGGAAGTAAAACACTTTCTCCAGTGGAACAACGATACTCCAAGACGGAACGTGAAGCTCTTGCAATTGTCTGGAGTTGCGAACATTTCCATCTATCTTCTTGGAAACACATTTGAACTTGTAACGGATCACAAGCCATTGGAATTAATATTTGGAAACCCAGCTTCAAAGCCGCCTGCCAGAATTGAGAAATGGGCGTTGAGACTGATTTCCGTATTAAGTACAAACCTGGAAAGTTCAACCCAAGTGACTATATTTCACGTCACCCAATTCTTCAAGAAAATTCTGAATCACTCTCTACTGTTGAAAGTTGCATCAATTTTGTAGTCCAGACAAATATCCCGAAATCCATGACTCTGGATGAAATTCAAAAGGCTTCTGACAACGATATTTTGATACGAGACATTCGAGAGGCAATGAAGAGTGGATCATGGGCTGTTTTCAAGAAATCAACAAGACCAGACTGGCAATCTGTCCATAAACTGAACTGTTTCGGAAACTGGGATAGTTCTCCGAAATGACAAACTGTTTGTTCCACGCTCACTCAGAAAACATGTCATAAGGTTAGCACATGAAGGACACCAAGGTATCGTGAAAACAAAGTCGTTGCTAAGGGAAAAAGTGTGGTTTCCTGGAATTGATAACCAAGTTGAGTCGACACTCAAAAGCTGTTTGCCTTGTCAAGTAACAACAGAAACAAAACATCTAGAGCCACTGAAGATGTCACCTTTACCAAGTGGACCGTGGACGGACCTATCAATGGATTTTTGTGGACCGTTTCCCTCGGGAGATTATCTCATGGTTGTTATGGATGAGTACTCGAGATATCCGATAGTGGACATTCTTAAATCTACCTCTGCAAAAGCTGTTATTCCTAAGTTAGACAAAATTTTTGCAGAATTTGGAATACCAAAAATTCTGAAGACTGATAACGGACCTCCATTTAACGGAACGGAATTTCGCCAGTATTCGGAATACCTGGGATTTTCTCACAGGAAAATTACTCCTTTATGGCCTAAAGCAAATGCAGAATCTGAAAGATTCATGAGGACAATTGAGAAAACTATCAAAGCAGCTAATGTGGAGCATAAAAGTTGGAAACAAGAAATCTTCACCTTTCTAAGGAACTACAGGGCAACACCGCATTGTACCACAAAAACATCTCCATTTGAAGCACTATTCAGCCGGAAGATCAGAACTAAGATGGAAGTAGACATTCTTAAAGAAAATAAAGGAGGAAAATGTGAAATCCACAACGAACTAAAGGAAAATGACATTAAAGCTAAATTAAAAATGAAACAACATGCTGATCACTATTCTCGGGTAAAGGAAATAGATTTGGAAGTAGGGGACAATGTTTTGGTAAAACAGCCAAAAACAAGCAAACTGTCAACCCCGTATGAACCAAACCCACTCGAAATTTTAAAAACTAAAGGTACCATGGTCACTGCAGGAAATGGTGAGAAGACAATTACAAGAAACGCATCACATTTCAAAAAGATTGAAAGTAATAAGGCAGATCAGGACGAGGAACCAGAAATTGACATTGAAATACCCACGAAGGCAGATAACACCGCGAGTGACATACCGAGCCGTCCCAAGAGAGTAATCCGCACGCCCAAAAGGCTAATTGAAGAGATGTTAACACATACGCGTTTGTGAACATTAGTGCATTAGTGCCCTAAACAGTGTGTGCAATAGATACTAGAAATATTAGCCGTGACTGTGCTTATATATACTTAGACTTAGACAATAAGTGTTGTGTCTGCTTATCTATTTCTTTATTTTGATTCATATTTTAATTCATTGGGATTTGTTTCTATTTCAAACAAAAGGAGGGATGTAATGTTTAAGTGCAAACGTTAAGATAAACAGAACCGTACAGTTTGTTTATGTTCCTGATGGCTGAACTCTTAATGCTTTGAGACATTTATTGTTTTATCTTAAACTCCATCGCCTCACTGGTCAACTGTTTATACTTTCTCAGGATATCATATGATTGCGCCCATGGGAAAAGGGCCCTTATGGCAATTTTTACACATTTTAAGTTTTTCATGGATATTAATAGAGCAAGGTTAGAAGTTACCAAATCTGAATTTTTATGGCCCTACGTCAACTCTAAGTAGGTTTTTTCTTCATTTATATCAATGATACTTTAACAGGTAAACAGTGACGTCATGTTACTTTCGCACCAACGTCAAAAGTTTTCCAAGTGAACACGACTTTCACTTTGCATTGTAATGTTACTACGGTAATAAATGTATGTTATTGAGCATTTCCCAGAAACATTTTTGAGTCATTGTCTCTTTTAGTAATTGTATAATATGATAATAAATAGTTGTATTAACTATTATCCATCATGCAGTGGTTTATAGAATTATGAGTGTTTGTTCGTTTGTTTGTTTTACATTTCACTATGCTGGAATGTCAGGAAAACCCGAGAAGCAAGCGGCTTCTGTTCAATATCAATTTATTCTCTCAAAACCAAAGTATTTATCTCGTGTAATAATCGTTTGAGAAACCTGTAGAATTCATTCGAAAATCATCTCATTTAAAGCATGGCTCTCGATAGGACAAGATGTCAATTTTTTTTTTGTTTTGGGGGGGGGGGGTTGAATCCAGTATAAACGATATCTCTTTCAAAATGTGAAGTTAAAAAATATTTCAAAAACATGCTCGGGAATAACAATAAAATAGATGCTGCTGGGTAGTGAAAATTTGTTGTTTTTTTGTTTTTGTTTTCTAAATATAATTAGACAGAAAATTTGTGAAATGTAGTGAGTTACCGTATACGCTGTACAACAATTTAAGGACATTAAGTTGATACACTGCATGTTAAGCAATATTCCATAAAAAAAAATTCAAACAAAAAATCAGAAGGACTTCTGCCCGCATGTGGTAACAAAACTTCTTTTTTTAAATTGAAATGATACACATTTTTTCAGTCACAGCAAGGAAAAGTTTTGAATAATTAATTTTAAGTAAGCAGGTTGATAAATAATAAACAAATGGGTGAATTATAATTCACATGCATTTAAAATGAAAGGAACAGATACAGGATGACCAGTGGTTGGACTGTGTGTGTGTGTGTGGGGGGGGGGGTGTTAAAAGTTAAATGACAGAAACATGCAATACTTGTAGTTAACATGAGTTTAATAGCATACGAGGATTGTCGTATTTTTAAAATCTTCCTACATTTTAGGTGTGCAGGGGGGATGCCTTCCCACCACCAACCCCATAACCTCCAAATACGTCATTTGGTTAGGTTTGAAATAATATTGAAATAATTCCTCAATTTATTTTTGCACCTTGAACTCTCTCCTTAAGTACATGTATATGAGCAGGGTCATTTTCAAAACAAACAGCGATCATGATCGAGCATGATCGAGCTCCACATGCCTGGAACTGGAAACTTAACTGCTATCAAATCTAGTTAATCATGAGAAAAACTGCGTCCTAGAAAAACGATTTTGTAAAATTAAATGGTTTTAGAAGAACATGTATACACTGGGTATTAATAGATATCGAGTATTTTATTGTCATTTCAACAAATTTTATCCGAACTTTGAATGAAATGAATATGTCATTTTTTAAAATTAATATCGAATAGATTTTTCTAAGAAATAAATCATAAATAATTATATATATGTTGTCGTTATGAATTAATGACATGCAGATTTATTAATAGAATTTTTCGGCTTGGGGGGGGGGGGTGTAAAAATTAATTGAAAGTTTTATATAACCAGTCACTTAAATGCGACTGGTTCATAATATTCCTTGACTGGCTGAGTTTTTAAATGACAAATTTTTACGACGTGGCACACATTTAGGTACATGTAAATAATGTTGTGTGATGGTGTGTGTAGAATCCCCCCCTCCCCCCCCCCCTATTTTTCGCGGCTTCTTTATCGTGGGAAATTCTAATGTTATCGTTTTCAAATGTTATTGTATATGAAGTTTTACAATATAAAAATTCCATTCTGACCCCATGCCAGAGACTTGGATATGCTTATCCTTGTAAAGCTTTACAGATACACTGTAAAGTATAGTTAGGTCCCGGTAATATAAAATGACCCTGGCCCTCTTCCCCGGTCTCCTGCACTGCCACAAAAATAAAAACTTGCAAACATATTCTTAGTCTTTTGTACAGTATATTTTTAGCATTTAATTTATTTGTACAATGCATGTTTAATACAATTTGATCTTGACAAGATTTATTTCAATAAATCCAAATAACAAAATCAGCCCGTTTACATAATTCAACGGCAAGTTAAGGAATATCATACTAAACCGATAACTGAGATTATTATTTCAATAAGAAAATGAGTTTTAGATGATAATAGAACAGTAATGATATACAATGCTGAGATTCTATGAATGACATGGATTACATATATTTGACTAAAAACTGCAGATAAAGCTAAAACCTCTGAAATTTTTTATGCACAACACGAGTACCAAAATGTTATATTTTCGAGTTACTGAAAATAAATAGACAGCAAAAGAAAAAAAAAAGATATAGAGATTTCTTTTCATAATACGATATTGTTGTGTTTTTGAAAATTCGCCTTTTCATTAAAGTTTCACATTTCACATTGTATTAATAAACTGGATTTAATGTAACATCTCTCTCTCTTTCTCTCTCCCTCTCTCACACACACATCAGGTATACATACATGTAAACTTTTTTTTAAGCTAGAACAATTAGAACAATTTCATTTCATTCGGTAGTTTTTGTTTGTTTTCAAGTACTTCCATCGGAAGTGGCAACAACAAAAATAAGACGAAACAATTTTTTTTTAATTTCATTTTATTTTATTTAAATTTATGATCATTATTACTGAAAAAAAAATTAAAATTCAAGTTATTTTAAAAAATAATTTCATGTTAAAATAAATAGATGCACATGTAACATATTTAAAAAATAAATGAAAGTCTGGTTCAATGTAGCATCTATTTCTTATTCTATATTTTTTTCTCTTTCACTTTGACAGCAGCTAGTTCCATGAGCTTTCAAAAATACTTTTAAAGAAAATATTAAATATAATACTTACAATTAAAACGTTTTTTTTAGCTGATGATAAATAAGATTTTTAAAAATATTTTTTTATACTACGGGAGCAAATTTGTATGAGTATGTTGATTTTGAATGGTGTTAAAAAAAAAGAAAGAAAGAAAGTCCCTCTCTGGTACCTCTCTAGTATCTCGCTTGTCAGAGTTACCTCTCTTGTTTTTATTTATAGTTCTTAAAAATAATATCACGTCTGTCATTCGTTCGTACTTTTGCTAGATTTGTGAAAACTTACAAGAATACTTTTCTTTTTTGTTGGAAGAAGTGTGATCAGTTTCAAATTTTTGGCAGTTAAAGCATTTTACAACAAACATTTATGCACGATGTACCAATGCTTCAATGTTTACATGATCGATGTGTTGAGAATGGTGGGGCGGATCTTATACAGGAAAACGATTTCCTCTGCAATATTTTGATAATATACCCGTGTCTAACAAATAACTTCAATTTGTCTATATATCAAATTCGCATTCGTTCATCCATATTCAATTATCCAGAAAATCACCTTGTCTGAAGCTTCTATACATGTATAGGAAATGCATAGCCCAGATCAGAGACGTATAAAGCTACAATAACATGTAGTAGGCCTAAAGAAACGGGTCTCGAATAAAATTCTAAATATTTTGATTAAGATCAAAATCAAGATCAAGACGTGAATTAAAGATATAAATGAAAATAAATAATTATTTCAATGTTGAGAACAACGACAAAAGTGAGCTACACGTGTCAAAACGTAAAACACGTGGATGAAAAAATCTGCGTCGACGCTCACCGTCTGCAACGTCATATCTTTATGACGTTATTTCTCTGTTTTAGCAAAATTGCCATAAGGCCCTTTTGTCATGGGCGCAATCATATTAATTCTGCTATTTTGTATCTTTGTTTATCTGTATGAGTTAGTAATAGATTTGCGTCCAAAGAGAAATCATGTGTTATTCTTACTAGCAACATTACAATTGGTACATATAAACAGAGAGCACGTCATCAAGCTGGTTTCCCATTTTTTCCTGGCTGATAATGATAAAATAAAACTTCACACGTTAAATGAAAAAATTCTTTTGTCCCCATGCAATTTTTGTCGGCAAATTGTGTTAAACTGGTTATTAATATTGTCTGCTATCGAACGAAAGAGACAAATAATTCCTCTGTTGTTTTTTTTTTTTTGTTTTTTGTTTTTTGTTTTTTTTTTTTTTTTTGTTTTTTTGTTTGTTTTTTTTTGCCAGGCAATATGAACTAAAGATAACGATATCTGTTAGCAGTTCACTGTTTCTTTGTGGTTCTGGTTTAGAGATATTTTTTGTTCATGCGGAATGTATGAAGATGCTTATCATTATTTTTTTGCTTGTAGAAATTATGCAAATGCTAGGAACAATCTTTTCAACCACCTGTTTTTGCTTGATGAATTGGTTACAACTGACACAAACCTGTTATTATAGGGTGATAAAGATTTCCCTGTACTTACTAATAACAATATTTTTGCTGCTGTCCATAAATTTATTGATGAAACATGTAGATTTTAAATTGACGTCTTATTCTTTATATATCACTTGAAAACATTATATTTTAATGTATTATTTGCATGACATATTGT